AATATTAAAAATATTTTTTCACAGTATATATAATAATATAATTTAGTMAAAAACTATTCAATATTGGACTCATTTCGAATGTATTAACGAGACGATTATARTRRTGTAACTTGTTAAAATAAAAATGTATTTTTTAAACATGTTTTAATTGATATACGATTATGTATGTTAATTTGATAAAAGTTTAAAATGAAACATTTAAAAGTAAAAGACGTAAAGTAAATTAATTAATTAATTATGGGGGTATAAAGTGTAAATTTAAAATTATAATTTAAAAAAAATCGGTTGTGAGAGGGTGAGTGTATGTGAGGGGGTGAGGGGTGAAAAAGTGAAAAAAAGTGACTTAAGGGTGGTATAAAGGGTATTTTGGTCCTTTAGTATTTTAAGACTTTAAGACTTTTGTTAAATTTACTTAATAAGATAATATATATATATATATATATAATATTTGTATGTATATGTTAACTTAGAAGATTAATGTGAAACAAGAACTTATATCGGCGATCTATCATCTATCCAAAGTATTGATCTTTCGACAAACAAACTCACCCGCGGCATGCCCATAGCATCAGAAGTCTGTAAGGTATTCAAAAGGTTTTTACTGTGTTTCATCTGTTAAACAATTATTGAGATGAATTTCAACAATGAAAATTTTATGAAAATCAAGAGAATTTTGCAAAATGTTTGCACCTGATTTTACAAAAACAAACTATTGATTCAGATCTCAAACTTCATACGTTTATCAATTTACAAAAACAAACAGTCTTATTGATTCAGATTTCAGTCTTTAGCACCAAACTTTTATTAATCAGAAGTGAAATAAGACTTCAGACTTCAGCACCTCTTAAAAAACAAACGCCACCTAACTAAATCAATCTTGAAGACTTAGATTGGACCCTGTAGTTAATTCTTAAAAAGGGTATCTTTTTAAGTTCAAATTTCTTTGATATTTTTACATATCTTCAACCCACGAATATTAAAAAAGTGTTTGGCAAGGGTCCATTTCTTTTTAAGTTACACGAGTGATTGTACATACCACATACTAGGCAGTAGGCACTTGTATTTTATTAATGGTCCCGAACTTTTTTATCCTCTTAAATTTTTTAAATCTTATTTTTTTCACTTTTTTATGCTTTAACTTCGATATTCAGATAGAGCATCCACAACGTAGAAGTCATATAATGATTTTTTATATTTGCCACCTCATATTTCACTAATTCTATCTGATAAAAACTCGTCTTTTAAAATCATCTCCAATACAACCAACCTTTCCAAAAGCTTTTTAAATATTTAATAATTAATCAAAAAGAAGGGGGCAAAATGAAAATAATTTTGGAAAACGGTAAACCTTCAAGGAATTGGTGTATAAAAAAATGTTTTACTCCAATGGGTAAAAAGTGTAACGACCTAGAATCACATTTGTATATAACCAAGTAATATCATATATCAAGAAATACAAATATACATATTTGGGTCCAAAAAAATACAAAAACTACATTATAAAAGTAGCTACCAAATTTTTTCATAACATCTCTGTACATAACTTGTATACATAACAAGTATTTAAAAAAGATCACAGATAAGCATGCTCTCCTCCACATCTCGTGTAAGCGTACATAACATCTCATAATTTCCCTTTTCCCTTATCCTTAGATTGAGTCTAACTTGTAATGTACATTTTTGAAACACAAATGAGGGTTAGATATTGAGATCTAGTGAGAAATCTCTTTGATGCAATTACAGGGTGAAAATCACCAAATCAAGTTATAAATTCATATTGTAATACCAACAATTAGGACCAAAATTATCCTAAGTATCATGAAAGATTTAATAAAACAATTTGGCCCAAGTATGGAAGTCTGAAAATGAAGAATTCAAACTTCGGGTCAGCTAAGTCTGAAAATGAAGACTTCAGTTGGCTAACTCTGAAAATGAAGACTTCAGACTTCAGAGTTGCATTTCAGAGTTATAAGTCTGAAAAGTCATTCTTCAGAGTTAAACCTTGTATCATACAGAGCAAGACCACCAGAGCCCTTCTGGTCCTTAAGGACCAGAGCAAGCCAACCAAAGACAAGACCAATTAGAAGCAAGGCCAACACAAAAGCAAGGTTTGGAACCAAGAGCTCGGATATAGAGCTTGGACACAAAGGGTATAAAGACCGAAGCTTTTTTTGTGCGCAAATAGCCAAGTACTTGGATACAGAGCTCCACACCCAGACACGGAGCCTTTGCATGATACATGCAGAACCTTTGGGTCTCCTACTTAGCCCCAAAAGTAAGGCCAACATAAAAAGACAAGGCCAATAGGGGTGTTCATCGGTTGAAATCCAATGGATTTAGATGGATGCGATGCGATCCAATCATCCATTGGATGTTGGATTTTGTCATCAGATCCAATTCGATTAACATTGGACATCCGATCCGATTTAAATCCAATGGATGATTGGATCAGATTGGTTCCATCTATTGGATTTTACTATTGGTTATCCATTGGATTGGATTGGATTCGTCCAATCTTTTGACCCAATTCTCAACCAATTAATCCACTATTTCAACCAATTATTCATATATTTTCTTAAGTTATTAAAAAAGCAAATGTATATAGATATCAACTAATAAAAAATATCGTGAAATGTTAATAATCATATATAATTACTAATTAGATATTAATTAGATGGTAATTGGATTGGATCAGTTCGGTTTTATTAGATGATGGACTACCATCCAAGAATCGACCGATCCGATTTGGATGTTGAAAATTTGGATCCGATCTAATCCGATTACAATTGGATATCCGATTTTGGTTAAAGAAGTAATTCACCCTGCAACGTAGTGATGGCTTGGTGCAAGTTACCTATGCAAAACCCATTTTTTGCGGCAAGTCCTTTCAATGTCATTTGCAGGTACGACTTCATATTGGTGGGTGAAAGAACAATGTTCCTATCCCAAATAACAGCTTCAAAATCAGTTTCCATAAACTCAAAAACAAGATGCAACTTCCCTTAACGAGGAAAAGCATCAACCGACTCTATTATATTTGGATCCTTGAGGTCTTCATTTGACTAAAAAGATGACAACTTTTTTGGATTCTAGGGTTTTGATTCTTACCTTCATTTAACACAAAAAGAATAGAAGATAGAGGAGGGAGTAAGAAAAATCAGAGTACATTTTCTTCCTTCACTTCAGTTCACCATTTTATCAAAAAGGAGGCCATGCTACCGGGAGGAGAGGCGGCAAGGACACCAAAGGGAGGAGGAAGCATCGATGGTTCAAGAACGTGAATCGCCTCCATTGATGGTTCCAGTTGTTTGAAATTGAAAAGAATGAGCCGGATCGTTGCCTTGGGAGAAGGAATCGACGTCCTTGGGAGCCGGAATCGATTTCTTGTGAGCGGCATTGGTATGCAACTTCAATTGTAGATTAAGGGATTTTAATACTAAATGCATAAAACAATAGTACTTAATGCATTATGAGTTGTTTTTAAGACTTTGTGCATAAATGTATCGTACTCTGTGCATTAAAAATTGTTTTTAAAGACATTTCTTAAATTTGGTTTATAATGTAGTATATAAATGTAGAGAAAGAAACATATTTGATATTTTATAAGACAATCGAGTTTTATTTTGAGTTGCTCAAAACTTGTTCCATGCTATTTTGTTCCTGTTTGTTCTAAATACAACGTATATTAGATGTGGAATGGTGATATATAGGAGTGTAAATGATGCGAGTCGAGTTTGAGTACTACTATACTCGACTCGAACTCGAAATCCAATTTCCAAGCTCGAACTCGACTAGAAAACTCACAAGTAGTAAAAATCAAAGCTCGACTCGAACTCGATAATTATTTCTCAAGCTCAAACTCGTATTCGAGCTCGAATCAAGCTCGAACTACAACTCAAATAAAGCTTGAACTCAAACTCGAACCAAACTTACCCATTAAAATTTATGAAATTTTAGGGTATTTCTCTTATAAATTTTAAAAGTTAAAGGTGTTTTCTTAGTTTTTATAAAATTAAAGGAATCAACTTCAAACTTTTTCATCAAAAAGACAAAGTTAAAAATTCCATTCACCTCCCGCTCTTCTTATAACATTTTTTCTCTCTTTCTTTACCATATCTCTTCCAATGTGAGACAATTTCACTAACCTTTTTTATAGTTTTTCTTTGTCTTTTTTTACTTTTGATTTTAATAAAAAAATAATTGATTAATTTTTATAATTGAAAAATGCATAATTTTGTTTAAATATCTAAAAATATAAGACATCTTTATTATTTATATTTTACAAATTTTATCATAAAAACTGATTATATTTTAAAACTAATTATATATAAAATAATCGAGTATCTCATGAGCTTTTTGAGTCGAATATTGGGTGGCTTAACTTGACTCGTTAATATGTCGAGCCAAGCCTATTCGAGTCGAGTGTTGACCGAACTTTGACCAAGTCGATCTTAAATAGCTCGCAAGTTGTCTCGTATCATTTACAAACCTGATGATATATATTCTATTCCGTGCAATGTATTCAGTCACGATTTTAAGATAAAATTAATCGAGATTTGCGAATAAATCTTGTGCTTAATTGCATCTTAATAGGAACTCATATATATTCGTGCCGGTTGCTTATTCACCGGTTCTCGTTGGCCGATATAATTGCCAAGTTTAGTAAATCAATAAACGTGAATCAAATCCCTATTTAGACGTATATCATTTCCCCCATTGCAATGGCTTTCGTCTTCTATGGATTGATGGATCTGTGCCTAATTCTTTCCATTCATTCTCCTTTTTTTATAGTATTAGTTCGTCGATTCTTTAAATATAATCTGCAATTGATTCAGGTAAAAGAATTGGGCCAAATTGGATATTATTTGAGTTAAGAACATAAATAAGGTTCTTCTGGCTATTTCCCATGAATTAATTAAGGTGTCAACCTGATTGTGGTTGTCATCGTTGTAGGAGCGATAGATTGAAGAGTGTGTTCGGCAACCGACGCCCCATGATTGATGGTGCGAGGCGGTCGGTCTGGTGGTGGTATTGAGGGCAAACGGAGAGGTGGGGCATTTCGCCATGAGAGCGAGCATGATTCGATGGCCATGGTAACTAATTTCTGTAAAAATGGAAGTAGTGGCGGCGCCGTTTCTGGATGCAGCAGCAATGGCGATTTGAGGAACTGCCAACGACATCAATGGAGTTTTTTCAACCCGTGTGAGTTCTTTATGATTTTTCTGAAAGAATTCTGAGATTTTTGTGATTCCTTTGTTTGTCATCACTATCACGACTGCCAACTATTCGTTGAAATGCCTACACATTTGACTGCTAATCCATCCGTACATCGTTGATTTAAATTCAAAACTTGTGCATACAAATGCTTGACTTTGATTGATTTAGGGGTTCTTGAAAATCGCTTGACCATCCAAATTTCAATCTATCTTTAGTTACTTCCTAATGCTGAAGATGTATTAATCTTCGAAAAAATGTACCTTTTTTGGAACAGCAATGGCGATATCTAGCGTGTTATCTTCATGGGGCATCTTTCTTCTCTTGGCGTTCCTCCAAATGTTTGTGCCCGTGTGCCCGATTGGCGTAAACTATGGCACGACGGGCGACAACCTTCCTTCGCCGAAAGAAGTCGCACAATTCCTTAAAGAAAATACAATCATCGATCGTATCAAAATATTTGATATGAACACGGATATCATCAAAGCCTTTGCTGACACAGGCATCTATGTGACGGTGACCGTTCCCAACGGGGACATTCCGTCGCTTACGGATTCCGGTAAGGCTGGAAAATGGGTCCAGGAAAAAATCAAGCCGTACTATCCCGACACCAAGATCCGCTACATTGCTGTCGGTAATGAGATCCTCCATTGGGGGACTCCTGACATCATCGACAATCTTGTTTCCGCCATGAAAACGCTCCACGGAGCGTTGGTCAAGGCGGGTATCAAGGACATAAAAGTCACGACCCCACATTCACTTGGGATCCTCCTCTCGTCAGACCCGCCCAGTAGTGGTGCATTCCGACCAGGATGGGATGAAGCCATCATAAAACCGATGCTCGAGTTCTTGAACGAAACCCAATCCGGGTTCATGGTTAACCCGTATCCATATTTTGGGTATTCACCGGGTAATGATAGTTTCGCTCTTTTCCGACCGAACCCGGGATTTGTTGACCCTGAAACCGGGAAAGAATACGACAACATGTTTGATGGGTTGATGGATGCCATTTACACGGCGATGAAGAAATTGGGATTTCCGGATGTGCCAATCGTCGTGGGGGAGACAGGGTGGCCATCGCTTGGTGAACCGTGGCTTACATGGGTAAATGTCGACAATGCAAAATCGTATAACGGCGGGATGATTAAGAAGTCTAACTCGAAAATTGGAACACCATTGATGCCCGGAAAGAACTTCGAGATCTACATTTTTGCATTGTTCAATGAGAACCAGAAGCCTGGCTCGCTTGCAGAGAGGAATTTCGGGCTCTTTCGACCCGATTTCACAGAGGTCTACGACATCGGAGTCGTGAACGGAAGTGCACCTAAGAGACGATCGCATGTAAGAAAATCCTACTTGACGAATTTTAACATAAAATAAGTGTTGGATCTCTATTCATATGTGAATTTGGTGTTGCTTAGGGTCCTGCGGCTTCTCCGTCAAAGTCACCAAAAAGCGAGAATTCCGGTGGTGGTTCTGGTGATTCAAACTCAGATTCAGGTCGATCACAGTCAAAGTCTACTGATGAGAAATCTCCTCCCGGTAGCAGTAGCACTGTCAGTGGCAGCAGCGATGCTTATGGTGGCCGAGCAGCGATGGCCTCCGTCGCCGGAGCTGCAGCCGTTGTTGTAGTGGCTTCATCTTTGATATGGCAGTTAAGTATGATTTGAGGTGATACATGTTTGAAGTTGTTGGAACGTAGATTTTGACATTTGTTGCAGGAAATAAATGATTAATTTTTGAGTTTTAAATATTTTAGTTTACATTTTCACTCAATCTTTAAATATTTAGGTGATACATCTTTAGTATGATTAGGTAAGAAACTTAAAAATAGATCTGGACTATTGATGATCTTTAATCTCATATTCATCTACGAACCATGCGTGATACGGAGATTAATCCGGTGTATCTCATCTCGATGCATCACATTCTATTTAAGGGTGGAGATCACTTTACACTTCTCATTTAAGAAAAGTTTGCTCCTATAGCTATAATGCATCTGAAGAAGATGTTCTTAATTTCTTGAACCAAACCAACAATCTTAACAAATAATATAACTAAGAACTTTTTATAATCGATATAACACGGTTATAAAATTTTCTATTTTTTTATTTATTTGTAACTTATAATATGTTGATTTAATAACATTTGATGATATGACTATCGGTCTATAAAATGGTTTAAGCAAAGTAAACGTCTAGATGATGAATGTGACAGTCACATCATCAAATATTATTAACATGATATGCGGCAAAATGATGAAAATTTTAAGGTTTTCTAAAATTTGCTATATTAAATAGTAATTGTTTTGATATAAAAATGTAAACACAATCAATAAATTAAACGATAAATTAATTAAAATAGTTATAAAAAAAAAGGCTTTTGAACTAGTTTTACAAGTGCATATATTTTTAGTGTTAATTTAATTATGTTGCAGAAATATGTTTTTTTTCTTTACGAACATAGATGTATGATTTAAGTAATAACTACAATTAAATATCTAAAATGATTGAGAATTCAAAGGTAAAATTGATTAAAATAGTCATTTCTTTTATAGAAACGAGTATTATATCAAAAAATCTCTTTCTAATTTATTTAAATATCACTACTTTCGTAAGTTCCATGTCCACCACTTGCATACCTAGCTAAAAGACAAAGAAAATTCAAATTGTAGACCTAACCATCATAATTACGGACTTGACCGTTACAAGACCGGAAGTAGTTTTAAGAAGGGTATTTTGGGAAAAATATTTAAAGCACACTTCTGTAATAAATTAACAACGAGCATAGAAAGTCAAATGTCTTGTTGCTTTTGATTCTTTACTCATGTTGCCAGTATTACTCATTCCTACCTTTTCCACCAAAGCTTTCACAAAACATTCCTTATAAATCATCCAATTTCACCATCAAAATTCCACCGTTAACAATGGCCGTTTCTAATCCTCCACCGCTTAACCACCTCCTCTTCCCGCTCCTCCTCCTCCTCCTCCTCCTCGTATCCGCCGTGAACTCCATCGGCGTCAACTACGGCACCCTTGGTGACAACCTCCCTCCACCAGCTACAGTCGCCCAATTCCTCAAATCCAACACCATTATCGACAGAGTTAGAATCTTTGACGTCAACCCTGATGTTATCAAAGCCTTTGCCGACACCGGCATCCTCGTCTCCGTCACCGTCCCCAACGGCGAAATCCCTTCTCTCGCCGACCCCTGGAACGCCCGCCAGTGGGTCGAGGCCAACATCAAGCCTTTCCATCCTGCCACCAAAATCCATTACATCGCTGTCGGCACCGAGGTACTCCACTGGGGTCCACAAAACATCGTCGACCATCTCGTACCGGCGATGAGAGTTCTTCACGCCGCTCTCATTAAATCTGGGATTAAAGACGTTAAGGTTTCTAGCCCACATGCAATGGATATCCTTTTATCGTCTAGCCCGCCAAGTAGCGCGTCGTTCCGACCCGGATGGGACGTCGGTAATCTAGCCCCGATGCTCCGGTTCCTCCGGCAGACGAAATCCGGCTTCATGGTTAACCCGTACCCTTATTACGCCTACTCTCCGGCGAATGCGAGCTTCTGTCTTTTCAAACCCAACGCCGGATTGTTCGATAAAGCCACTGGAAAAAGGTATCGTTTCTTGTAATCATGTAAATTTTTGCATTCAAATGCGATTTAACCAATCATTTGAATGTTGGATCATATCCAAGGTACACCAATCAGTTTGACCAATTGATGGACGCCGTGCACGTATCTATGAAGAAGCTTGGGTTCCCGGACGTCGAAATTGTGGTGGCGGAGACAGGGTGGCCGTCGGGCGGAGACCCACAAAATACACACGCCAGTGTTGGAAATGCGGCGGCTTATAATGGTGGACTAATCAAGAAAGTGGACTCCGGCGTCGGTACGCCATTAATGCCCGGACGGAAATTCGAAACTTATATTTTTTCATTGTTCAATGAGAATCTAAAAGGGCCGTCGTTGGATGAGAAGAATTTCGGACTCTTTCGACCAGATTTCACTCAAGTTTATGAGATCGGGATTATGCACCAATCACAGGTAATATCTTTTTCCTGATCGTATAAAACTTTAGGGCCACGTGGCATTAGGAGCTGCATCCACCGGACCGGAATATAAGATGAATAAATATTCCCTAAAAATTGCAATTATTGGCGTTCCCTCTATTAAAATTAAACATTTTATTTTTCTACCAACAATTTTTTCTGAAATTAAATAAAAATATAATATTTTATAAAAGATATTAAATATTTTAATAAAATAATTCATATTGTAATCTCCAAATTAAAAAAACTACCGGAAATGAATATAAATTTTCTTTACAGATTTTGACTTTTGTCGAGAATCTCTTACTTGTTTGTAATTTGTCCATTGTTTTGAAAATTCAATGGACCATGTCTTTATGGTTGAATTACAATGAGATGGATCTTAATGTAACCACAAAGACCTAGGTTGTTGATTTATTTACGGCTAGACATTGCCACCCTATAGTCGCCCCTAGGGGTGCTCATGGGTTGGGTTGATCGGGTTGAAAACATTTGAACAACTCAACTCAATGTTTGCGGTTTGAAAAAATCTTAACTCAATCCAACCCAAACCAAAGTGCAACTCAACCCAACCCGTACGGGTTGGTCGGGTTGATATTTTGATACATTAAAATATTTTTTTAACCTTGAATATGTTATTTCTTTACTCATAATTTCTTTTTTATTATCAACCATTTGATACAACTTATCCATATTTATTACATATATCACGTACTATTAATTTTCTCAATTTACATATATATGTTCACAGTTACTGAACATATATACGAATGAGTTATATAGAGATGTTGATAGATTGAAAATATGTGTATATGAATAACATACATGATAGTGTAATTGTCTAATGTATATATTAATATAAATTCAACAATCATATTGTATCCAAAAAATAAAAGGATATCGGATTCGTTGGGTTGGGTTGGGTTCAAATAATGGTAACCCAATATCAACTCAATACCTACAGTTTGACAATTTTACAACTCGATTAGACATCGGGTTGCTTCAGGTTGGGTTATTTCGCGTTGGGTTGGGTTGATTAGGTTGGTCGGGTTTTTGAGCACCCCTAGTCTCCCCTATCTATCACTACTTATCACAACCATTGACCTTGCCATCAGTCTCCATCTTTTTTCATCTGTATATATGTGTTCTATTGAATTGTTGTAAAAGAGGGAGAATCAAAAGATAAAAAAAACTGATCAAAAAGAAGGAGACTGATGGCAGGGCCAACGATGGCAATGAGCAGTATGAACAATAGACAACGATGTGGAGGTGAGAGGAAGCGATGTTGTTGAGTGCAAGGGTTAGGGAACGGTAATCTGATTTAGTTTTTTTTTTTACTTTAAAACATTTATAGTCGGTTACAAGTAGTTTCTTTTGGGTAAAAATGACGTAGGTAACCAATTTTTTTAATAATTATACAAGTATATTGTATCGCACACTTTCCTTTAATAGCAACTATACGCTCTTATATGTTTGTATTGATTCTGATGATATAGTCGACTAATCCATCATCGAGGCCACCAACACCAACTACACCAACGTCATCACAGGGCAAGAGTTATTGTGTACCTAAACTCGATGCCACTGATGTTGCACTTCAATCCAACATAGATTACATTTGCAACAACGGCATTGATTGCAGCCCCACCCAACCTAGTGGCCCATGCTTTGAGCCGAACACCGTGCGGGCTCACGCAGCGTACCTCATGAACTCTTATTATCAAGCCAAAGGTCGTCACGACATTGATTGCGACTTTGCTCACACCGGAGTCATAGCATCCACCGATCCAAGTAAGTCGATCACAATCAGTTCTTGAAACCCTGATTTTTAATTAGTTTTGTTGGTAATATTCTTTTTGTAATTTTTTTAGGTAATGGTCCATGTAAATATATTTCTTAACCCGGTTGAAGCACATAGGCGATTGCATCGAAGCATGCGTTATTTTAGGTGAGTCCGTAAACGTCAACGTCTTCGGTTAATGGCTTAACACTACCTAAAAAAGCCATTTTAGGAATGATGCATAATGATCGCTTTAAGTCAAGCCGGTACAGTCTATTTACCTTACCTATTTCTTGGACATTTAATTTACTGATTTATGATGATGTGTAACGAAATATCTCAAAAGATAGCCAATATGTTTGCTACTCTGCTTGTTTAATTTAATTTTTTACTTATGTATTACATACGCTGCCGTTTTGATGGACTAAAATCTTATCCGGTAAGTAAATGATAATGTTAAATAATAATGAAAGTTTTTCAACAAATTAAAAAATGTAAAATCGATTATAGTTACCAAATACGACCTTTGCATGATTATGCATATATTTTGACAAATGGGGTGTGGTTGGAGACTGTGGCAAAAGGGGGTCTGCCACGTGTAGGGTTGGATTTGGTATAATACTGAGTTTTTTATTTCCTATAAGATCAAGTACCAAGCAGTTATAATTGTTATGCAAAATTCTATATCGTGTATCAATCAACTATACTTGACACTAATTTAATTGGTACCAACATTTTACGGATGATACATGTTGGTATCTTTTTCTTTTTACCAATTTCAAGTTACATGTATGAAAATTTGTCGTTTAAGTACATTTTGAGTTTTTAGGTAGAAATATGATGCTTAAGAGTTTTTAATGCAAAGAATAAAAGTAGAAAATATTTAAATGTTCAAATAAAATAGTTAAAAGTAAAATATTCAATATTTAATACGTAAAAAAATAAGTCGGTACCATGGTACTACCGTGATATATGGCTTTCAATACCGTATACCAACCAAGTTACATAATTGGTACAGTATAAATTAAATTGATACCGATTAAATTGGTACGATTGAAACTACAAACATAACACAAGATGATATTTTCCTCCCCTTTTAGGTGTCGGTTCGAATCTTAGTTGTATTATTTTCTTAGATTTTGACTTTTATTTTCAGATTTATTATGTTTCTGAACATCACATACAAAAAGCAAGAAACTAACAAATAGACCAATGATAATTTTGTAAAAAATTTCCAAAGGTTTGTTTTTTATAGTCAAATTATGTCACCAGTTGAAAAAAATTATATGTCCGCCTCTGTATGAAAGGTATTGACATGTTTTGTTTTACATGTGAAACAAGTTTGTCTGCATTTAACCACAAGAGTGGTGTCTGATTTGTTTGAGTTTGGGCTCCAAATGTCAAAAGTGTAAGGAGGTCTTATGTTCAAATCTAATGAGGAATAAAAATTATCTTGTGGCCACGAAGGTTTAAATGCGGCAACTCCAGGCTACCCGCAAAGCAAGTAGTCACGATGAAATTAATCGGCTCGCATAACAAGTTGGATATCTATGTTAATAAAAAAATTGTTTGTTTCATATATGAAACAGTATTGTAAGTTTCATATGTGAAACCATTTCTTATGGTTGTCACCGTTTTTCTAATTTAAAATGATTTGAACCCTCTTTATGAATTATATGTATATATTATATGTATATTTTCAATTTATAATAGAAACAAAAATGGAAAACCCAATCGTCATACTTCGTTTTCTTCTTTATACAAATCAATTTTATAATACGATTTTGTGTGGTCTTGAAAACTCAAGAATGTTCTTGGTTACTTATATTATATTTTAAATTTTATTTATATATTAATATATTTATATTTAATTAAACACAAAATATTATATATATATATATATATATACATACATACATAGAGAGAGAGAGAGAGAGGGGTTAAATTATGTGAGGACCAGAAAAAAGTTGAAAAATCGTGAGTACCATTTTTAATCATTAATTAAAATTTATGTACGACTATGAAAGAGGTTTGCTTTATTAAAAATATTGTTATTCGTTATTGATGCAAACATGAGTTTATAAATGAGATTTGTGATTATTCACCTTATAATTGCATAAAAAAAGATTTCTCATTAGACTTCAAGGTACAACTCTAATTTTTGGTGTTTTAAAAAATGTGGATTACAGATCGGGCACAAGCAGAAGATAAGGGGAAGGGGAAGAGGAAGTTGTGAGGAATTTATATATGCTTACATGTGATGTTAAGGATAATATGCTATATTTAGTATTTGAATACTTGATATGTATAAAAGTTTTGTACAGGGATTTTATGGAAAAATTTGGTAGCTACTTTGTAATGTAGCTTTTGTAATTAGTGGGACCGGTTGTGTAAATTATATTTTCTTGATATATGGAAATATCTGTTTATTTGCCTATTAAGAGTCTGTGATATATGTAGAACATTTGGAATAAATATGATGAGTTAAGAGAATGATATGTAAAGTAAATTCAAATTACAACTCGACAATGTAATTATGAATTTATAGATACATATTTGTACTTGGATATCTTTTTATATTTGGAAATACGATTATGTGAATATTACATTTGAAAATTTACAGATAGCAAGCCATTCACGAAAGTCTAAAAAGATCGCCCTCATCAGCTCATACGAGAGGGAGAGTTCACCTACAAACAATCCTACAAATCTATCAACAGACAGAGGTAGAGGGAGAGGTCGGGGAAAAGGCCGTGGAAGGAGACGTGGGAGAGGAAGGAACAGTCAACCTGAAATTCAGCCAGACTAGGGTGAATTAACTCAGGAAAATGTGAATCAAAAACCAGTACAACATCCTGAGTATGTTACTTGAATCAAAAACATAAATAATTTTGTTATAATGTTGATTAATGAAATTAAAAATATAGATCATTTGTATGATTCATATTTAACAAAAAAATTCGTTAACAAAAATATTTTATTAAATAAATTATATTTAAGGATGAAAATAATATATTTACCAAATATAAACAATTATTAGTGTTTTTTTTCCAATAAGAAACAAAATTACATTTAAATAATTTATATTTTTATTACCAAAGAGAACATAAACAACAACGCAAATAACAGATTAATGATATTTAATTATTCATAGATAGATGTGTATATAACAAAATTGTATAATAGTTTAGAGTAAATTACATTTTTTTCTCTTTATGGTTTATTAAAAATTACAATTTTTGTCCATATGGTTTAGATATTACGGTTTTTATTAATATAGTATGTAAATCATTGCTATTTTCGTTCTTATGATTTATAATTTATTATTCTTTTAGTTTTTATGGTTTATAATTCTTTACTATTATGGTCTCTTGTAATTAAAAATGCAAGAATTAGTTTACGGATGAAAATAACAATAAATTACATATCATAGAGATAACAACTGCAATTTTTTTATTAACCTAGATATCCAATCCACTATGTGAACCGACTAATCCTAGAGGGATCACCTGCTTTGCATGTAGTCCTGAATCACCATATTTGAGCCTCCGTGATTGCAAGAGGATTTTTATTTTTTCTTGGATACAAATTTTAAACTCTAGAGACAAAAATCAAAATTTTTAACAAACCATATAGATGAAAAGTAATTTACTCAATAATTTATAATTAACAAAATAAAATCCCCTCACCAAAAATTTAAGAATACACGTGATTGACTATTTATAATTAAAAAAATCATCAAAAATACTTCATTAAATAAATTATGTTAATAATAAAAGAAAATAATGTTTATTAATATAGAAAATAATTACTGAGTTCTAATTAAAAAAAAATAGTAAATAATAAATAAACAAAATGTTTTTTAGTGTCTCATAAACCCACATTAACAAATTCAAGAAATCTTAAAAGTAATTAACAATGGAGTTTCCTAATCCTATCTTCGTATTAATCATAAAGAAGACACAAATAAAAAACAAGATGAACAAATTTAAAAGATAGTGAAAACCCAAAAAGGAATATTAATAGAAATAAAAAATCTAGATAAAAAACCAGATATTGAACCAAAATGTTTCTGAATCAAAAGAAAGAACAACACAGAAATTCAAATTCAAATGATCAAAAGATACTGAAAACCCATAAAAAGTAGGAATACCAGATTAAAACCCTTCTTTTCTTAAAACTCTCTCAATCTCCTGAAAGACTTGTTCAAGTTGAAACCTTAAAACCTTCAAGAAGTCTTTCATCCACATATCTCACTCTTGCCCTTCATGGCATGTCTAGTCCCGTCTTGTAATGTCCGCGTACCAAACGCACTTTTAGTTTGTTTCTGGTACGCGGGACATGACAGAACTAAAAGTTATTGTCCCACATTTGACGCGATATTAGACTGGTACATGACATGATGAGACAAGAATCACAAGATGGGTAATTAGTAAAATACCCAAAAAATGGCATGGACCAGGCTTTAAGGTTGAAAAAGAGTTTGATCGGTCTTTTTCAAGACAGACTTTTTGGGTTTAACCGGGTTTTTCTTTGTTTTTTCAGGTGGGGCCTAGGCCTCGGCCTACCCCCAAATTTCAGCCGTTCGGGTTTGGCTCACTAGGCCTGTGCTTGGGGCTTTTTTCTTCTCTATCTTTTCTGGTGGTCCTTCATCTATATTATCAAAAAATGGGTTGTTTGTTTCGTTATCCACTACTTGGTAATGACTTGATTTATTATATTAAATCAGGTATCAGTTATGAGCTTCATTTTCATTATGCGTGCTAATCAAACAACCTCTTGTTACTATATTGCCGTTGTTTTTAATTCCAAAGTTCATCGTTTAAAACCGTTTGAAACTTGATTCTAGTACACTTAATAAGTTGTGTGGAAGCTATACACACCACATGTTTTGCGCCTCCTAACGCTCCTTTTGAACTTTTTTATTACCCTATGCAACTTTTGTGGATATAAGTTATATTTGGAAAAAGAATAATCAGTATATCTCATCATTGTTGATCTAGTGGTTCTCTCCAAACTTAAAAGTATAAAATATGTAAAATTATACAAAAATATTTTATTCTTATAAATATAATTTTTGTGAGATTTTGTTTGAATTTTGAACAACACAACGGGTAGAAAATAAGACCGCAAGCCCATATAAATATAACACCCGACCCATCCTTTTGCACATTCAACAATAACACCGATGGAGAGAGCGAGATGTTGGAAAAAATGAAGATTATCACAATGAATTATTAAGAACATACGAATAAGAATACACGTACCCGTCTCCATTAGTTAGGCTTGAGTATGAAAYRWAGATCCGAGATTATGGCTTTCCTCAACGCAAAATCCTTGATGTCCTTCCAATGGGGAGA